CCAGACCCCTCAGCCATGGCCCCCGGCTAACGCTTCCTTCACTCCATGCCCACCCCACCCTCCCACCCCCAGGACGAGCCAGGCAACTCCCTTAATGGCCATTTCAAACTGCTTTTATCCAGGAGGATGGCTCAGTCCGTAAAGTACTTGTTGCTCATGCTTGGGGACTTGAGTTTGATCCCCAAAACCGTATAAAAAACCAGGGGACTCATGCTTAATTCTAGCACTGAAGACACAGAGACAGCAGGGTCCCTGGGGCCCGCTGGCCAATAGCCTCACCTAATTGTCAGACTCCAGGTCCCAGGGACGGACCCTGTCTCAAAAAATTAGGTGGATGGATTCTGAAGAAGAGCACCTGAGGGTGTCCTCGGGCCTTCGCAGGCACCTGTGTGCATGTACACGCACCTGATTACTCTTGCCTGAAGCCCTTAGCTCCCTCTGGAACTCATGGACATCACAGGTTGCGAGTTTTGTGTTCACAGCACACGGCTCACCCCAGGACCCCATGTCCCACACACCTCCTCAGCTCTCCCAGGAGCCTGCAAGGTGCTGCCCGCCACCTGCCTCAGCTTCCCAGGACACTGTCAAGGGCGGCCCTTTTTCCTGAGCTGCAACACAAGTCCTTCCTTCCCTCAGCTGAGATCCAGAATCTTCTAGGGAGGGACCACGGAAGGGGCAATGCCTGGACACCTCTCCCAGGAATGGACTCAGCTGGTGTGGGGTGGAGCTGGGACACAGCAGTCGCTGCCACCCAGGTGACTTGAGTCCGCACAGACGCACACTCCCAGAGCTCATGTGCCAGAGAAAGGTGCTGGATTGCTGACTCGGGTCTGTTCTCCGCTTCAGGTCTATTTCCCCCCAGCACAGGTCTGTCACCCACCTCAGGTCTGTCCCCTACCAATACCTGCCTCCCTGCTGTAGGTGTGCACCCGGCACCTCACTGCCCTTCCCAAGCCCATCTTACCACGTGCCTAAACCACAGAGGGTGTCTGACGACTCCTCTACAATGCCTTCTGTGTGTGCATCATGCAGGTTGCACGGATGCCCCTGCCCACTATCCCCATGACTTCAAGGCTACCCACTGAGGCAGGATAACCCACCCTATAGGCGGGAAACGGGCTCCAATGGGTGAAGAGTTGTCACGGGGCCAAGGAGGCCTGGGCTCGAACCCTGTCCCACAAGTCCACCTTGAATCTTCCTTGAGTCACCTCTAGGAACCTGAGGCGGGTTTCCCTAACCTTCCAGTGGCTAGTTACAACAGTGGAGAGCCCGGGCAGAGCTGGCCTGGGGTGGTCACAGATTCCTAACAGCTTCCTATATACAACTCTGGCTCACCTGGCTCTTACAAAGAATTAGAGGCAGGAGAGGACCAGACACCCCGCCCTCCCTGGGACATGAATTGCCATAGGGGTCCAGAACCCGGCCACAGACCTCTCTCATGGGAGAGCCTTAGTCAGTCTGAGCAGGTTCTGGGGGCTTTTCTGAACCTCTGTCTCTTCTACAGTCCTCTAGTTTCTGCAGTGGGGGAGGAAAAGGTATAGGGGTCATGTACCTCCCTGTCTGGTAAAGAGCCTAGAGGGGTTGACCCCAGCTGAAGGACACTTGGGGGCAGGTGAGAGTCAAGCCTAATTGTCTATGGCACCAGGTAAATGATGGGTGGCCCATTTCATCTGCCCACCCACTGCATAAAACCTTCCCAGTAGAGTCTGGGCTAACTCCTCAAGGCCTAGTCCTCTTTGGGTTTTCCGGGCTGGGGCCGAGCCAGCCTGTAGTCCAAGTAGGTCCCCAGACAGGACCACAGGATGAAGCGAACCAGGATGACAATCACCAATAGCACCAGGAGGGGGTCAGGACCTGCAGCATCCCCCAACCAGGAGGCCATGCTGAGCAAGGATGTCACCCCACAGTCTGGAGCAGCAGCAGCCTCCCGGGGCTCAGGCCTGCTTGCCTGTCTGTCTGTCTGCCCGCCGGTGGCCCCTCTGAAGGACAGACCCCTGCAGTCGGTCCCCAGCCTCCCAGGCAGGCCAGCCCTTCCCACCGCACTGCAGCCGGGGGGCCTCTCCGCGTGTGAGGGGACAGTTGGGGCGGCAAGCGGCCTCCTTGGTCAAGAGGCCCGTGTGGCATTCATCGGGGACTAACCACTCGGAGCACGAACAATGACAGCATTGTCAGAGGCGGGAGGCGCTGTCCCTCGGCCCCTGCCCCGCCAGCACTGACGTAATCCCCAAACATCTCCGGCGGCAGCTGCTGGGCGAAGCTGCCGGCTCCATACAATCGGGCCCTTTCTCTCCCCAATTAGCTATCACTTCTGGAAGCCTGTGCTGTCCGAGAGCCTGGGCGGGCTGGGCAGCAGCAGCAGGTCCACACCACCAAGCAGGGCCCAGCAGGGAGGGCAGGAGGGGACACTGCGATTGAAAAGAGAAGGGAAGGGGACAGAGAGGGAGAACAGTCCGCTGGAGCCCAGAGGCGACCCCAGACAGGCTCAATTAGCGCTAGGGCTGTGCTCCCTTGTCCCCAAGGCCCCTCCAGCCTGTGACAGCGTGGGGGAAGGGGTCTGGAAGTGGGGGAGTGGGCTTAATCCTCCCCCCAGGGTGGCTGCTAGAGCTGGGCTGAGCACCTCCTGCCACCCCCAGCAGCCCCACAAGGAGTTTAGGAGGGACCCTCATCTGGATGGGAAGGGACCCTAGACCCCTCACCCACCCACACAGGGCTAGTAGCTGGTTAGCTTCCTACTTACAGAGTAACCCCAATTCTCTTGGTCCTTGGTTCCTTGCTGGGAAGTGCAGTCAGAGCCTCCTGCTCTAAAGGATCAAAAGAAAGAAGGCTTAAGCCAGACCAAGCACCCAGAGCAGTTGCCCCCAGAAACACTTCTAGCATTTTCTGAAACCACAGTATCTGCCCAGCCATGCCTGCCTGCCTCACACACATGCTCATATGTACACACACACACACACATGGAAGCATACCTCTACAGATCCTGCCTCCCTGCCAGGGGTCACTCTGGCCCCTCACAGCTGAGATGACCTTGAGTTAAGAGACAGCTGGCCTGTCCTCCTCCACCTCCAGAAACAGCCCTGTGTCCCACAGAACAGAGGGGCTCACCTGCAGTGAGGGGTCAGCGGGAGGAACAGGGGTCTCTGGCTGCAGGGTCCGGGTGTCCAACCCAAGTTCTCTCACCAGAAACCAGTCCAACAAACCACAAGAGGAAGGGTCCCTTCTCCACCTAAGATTTCTCCATCCTGTCACTGGTCACCTCTCATCCACTCCAAACTCCTTCCTCAATGACAGCATGAGTATTCACCCTGTGCATCCTTTCCAGAAGATTCCAAGTGAAGACAAATGCAAATGTCTGACAGTAGCATGCCTCGGGGTGGGAGGTGGAGAGTTAGGGGGTGCCAGTTTGTAAATTTCACAGCAACAATCCACCAAGAGCCAAACACACAGACTGCCTGTCACTACCCTCCAGCCTGCTCATCCCAGGCTGTCTCCTTCTCTGGAGAGACATCTATCCATGGACAGCACTGGCTGTCCAGCCCAGTACTCTCAAAATGTCACTCTCAGGGCAGTGAGCTCTGGGCTTATTTTTCTATCACCCCAAACATAAGACAGGATTTAGGGATTAGGAGCCAGGTCCAGCCAGGAATCATAGAGAAAACCAAGTGAATCTGGGGTGAGAGTCCCCAGTAGGGTGCCACTGTGGTCTTAGGAGGAGCTATTTCACTCACCTGAAAGACCACATCTCCAGGCGAGGCCTTCGGGAGCCCTGGAGCAGCCTGCCCTGAGTGTACCAGCTCAGGCCCCACAGAACCTGTGAGCCAAGGTAGCCTTGGACAAATCTGTGTTTGCCAAGCACACAGTCAGATAGGCAGAGTCAACAATGTCTCAGGTCACATGACACTCCAACACAGGGGACTCTGGGGTCAAGGAGGCCTGACCTTCCTACTCAGACGCCTATGGCCCTCTGGGAGTCGGCACATACAAGGTTGGTGTGACCTTCAAAGGAGGAAGTGTGTGGGCCTCCTGCCCTCGACAGTATGGAGCTGCTCCTGGGAAAGGAAGCTTGTCGGGGCTGAAGGTAGAGGGGGCACCAGACAAAGCAAGAGGCAGATGGAGCCTCACCTGTGCGGCTCCTTAGGCACCCATGGCCTCTCTGCCAGAGGACACCAGGATGCTTCCCATTTGGGTTGGGGGGAGGACTCCTCAAGTCTCCCACAACTATTGGTGGTGGTGGTGAGGGTGGTCTGTGCTGCCCCCTGGTCCCTTGGAGGCCCCAACTTTAGTGTCCTTTCTTTTTTAATTTTTTTAAATTTCTTTTTGTATATGAGTGTATTACCCTGCATGTATGTAAGTGCATCTGTGCTGTGTACTGCCCAAGGAGGTCAGAAGTGGGTGTCCAATCTCCTGGAACTGGAGTTAGGATGGTTGTTAGCTGCCATGAGGATGCTGAGAACCAAATCCAGGTTCTCTGCAAAAGCAGCCAGTGCTCTTAACTGCTGAGCCAGGTCTCCAGGCCCCTTGGTGTTCTTTCTGACACCTTCCCAAAGGAGATTTCCTGGGGCTACAGGAGCTGCCTCCTAGACAGATCTTAATTAAACCTTGACCATGAGAAGGATGAGCCCTAGGTCCTCTGGACAAACTCTCAGCGCACGCTCAGCCCCCAGAATTTCCCCCAAGGTGGAAGCACAGGACCATGCCCAAAGTCACCTTCTTCCACAGCTTGTCCTGCATCTTGCTTCCCTTGTCTCCCTCCTGGACCACCTGCCATAGGATACGGCCCAGGGCAATGTGACTTGTCCCTGTTGGTTCAAATACAGAGACAGAGACAGTCTGCTATGATGTCTGGAGCTCAGCCATGGCAGCTCCCAGCCCTGGTCACAGAGGACACATTAGGAGACTCTGGTTGTCTTCAAAGAGCCACAGTGCCCCCCTGCACGCACCCAAGAATCGAAGTGACCCACTGAGCCCTGACAAGGTACTTGCCAGGTGAAACCCAGTCACCGTGACGTCCACAGGGAAGGGCCCAGTTCTTGTCTACGGAAACTGGCTCCCACTGGGGATGGGGATGGGGTCTGCTTTCCCTGGCAGTAACAGGAATGAGCCTAGGCCTTTCCTCCCTCACAAAGAGCACAGCCATCACCGCTGACAGCAAGCCAGGTGGGGCTGGATGTGCTGCCTGGGACAGTCTGCTCAGACTTCATAAGGTTGCAGTGGACTGTCTGGACTTGAACTCGTGTCCTAGTAGCACACTCAAGGCCCACACCTAGACTCTGCTTTCATTGGTTTTTACTGCTTTTATTTTTTCTTTTTGGTATTCTGTACATGTGAGTGGTTGTGCACATGTGTGTGCAAGCCAGAAGTCAACCCCATATTTGGTTACTCGGGCACCGTCCACCATTTTTTTTGTGACAGGTTATCTCTCACTAGCCTGGAACTCACAGAGTAAGATAGGCTGGCTGGCTAGTGAGCCCTGGTGACCTGCCCATCTACACCTTCCCAGGGCTGGGATTACAAGTGTCACCCAGATGGGCTTTTGTAAGGCGGATTCTGGGGATGGAACTCGGGCCTCCCTGCTTGTGTGGTGAGCCCTTTACTCACCGAGCCAGCCCTCTAGCCCCAATACTTATTTTTATTTTTGTCTTGGCACTTGCAGTCTCTAAACGCTCCCACGCCTATAGAACATGAGCTCTCACGGAGTCCCTTGAGAGCCAGCACAGTCCCTGGGTGGGAAGGTGCCACAGGGGCTGGGCTCCTAGTGAAAGTTAAAGGACCACATTCTTCCAAAATTTTCAGCCACCAGCGCAGCTGGGTTCAGTAAGACGCTCAGCCAGGGTGCTGCCGACAGCCGTCATTTCCCCTTTCCTTTCTTTTTTCTTTGCCTTTCTGAGATGGGGTCTCACCAGGTAGCCCAGGCTGGCCAGGAACTCGCTATGTAGACCAGGCTGACCTCGATCTCACAGAGATCCGCCTACCTCTGCCACCAGAGTACTGGGGTTAAAGGTGTGTGCCACCACACCCAGCTGTATTTGACCTTTTGCAAAAGCCAGACACTCATGAGAGGAAGAGAGACAGAGACAGAGACAAAGTGGAGAGGCAGAAACAGAGACAGGAAGAGATAGAACAGAGACATAGAGACAGAGAGACAAGGAGACGGAGACAGAACAAGGAGACCAGCATGGGGGGGGTTACAATTACAAGAGCACACTGTTAGCCATCACTGCTGAGACACTCCTTAGAACCAATGGAAACCTGGGTGCAAGGTCCTAGGAAAGTCTGTGGCCAGCCCACTTCTTCCCCTGTGAACATTGGTCCCCAGACTCCAGCCACAGTGGGCTATAGTGACATACGTGCCTCTGAACCCAGTACTGGGGGATGGAGGCAGGAGGGTCAGGAGGTTCAAGACTAGCCTGGGCTACAGGACCCTTCTCAAAAAAGAAAAAAAAATGGGGGCAGGGGGCTAGGCGACAGCTCCAGGGTTAAAGCACTTCTCATGCCAGTGTGAGTTTGCCAGGCCTCCACATACATACGATCACACAGCCACATAGGCTCACACACATGCAGACATGCATGCACACACCTATGAAAGAGCAGTGGCCCATACCTACAATCCCAGCACTAGGGAGGCTGAGGCAGAAGGAGCAGGAGCTCAAGACTAGCCTGGGCTACATAGCAAGTTCTGGGCCAGCCTGAGCTACACGAGACCCTGTCTTGAAAAAGCAGGGGGTGGGGGAGAAGAAAAAAACCACCCAACCCCTGAAATCAACAGAACATGCTTTTCAAAGCGGCTTGCTCCCGAAATGCTTGAGGCCCACAGACAGGCGAAAATTAATTTTCTTTCTTCCCGCACCACAAAAGCAGATTAACACCCCCGATGGCGGGTGAGTGGGGAGGCGGAGGCCTGGGTCACCGAGGGGCTTGTGTGCTAAGGAGGGGTGGCCCTCTGAAAAGGCCTCTGCAGGCAGAAAGCCGCCCAGACTAGGAAGGCGCTTGAGAAAACGCTGCCGCCTTGCAGCGGCTGAAAGCCGGTGTGTAACTCTGCCCGGTGATCAAACAGCCAGCAGGACGGCTGTCAGCCGCAGAATGAAATTCCAAATAAATTAGCCTTGTCCCCCAAGCCAGCACAACACCGGATTAGGGCTCACAAAGGAATCACGATTTATTCAGCCTCCCTCGTCAGAATTCCTAATGGCCTGCCTTGCTATTTCTCAGTCCCCAGGCGGGAAAGGACAGGGAGAACCGCTTAGAACTGGGGCTCCCCATGCAGAGACACTTATGGTCCAGTCATGCCTGAGACTGGACAAGTCGGATTTTTAGGAACATTTCTTCAGAGAGAGCCTGCAGGGGAGGCGAGCTATCCCAAGTCTGGGGACATGAGTGGCTCTCTCCCATGAGTGAACAGTTCGTTCATCGGGATCCAAGATGTGGGGCCAGAGAAGAGGGCCACTCATGCTTCAGGGTGGAAGGGAGCATCCCCTGGCTCTCCTGGGGAGCAGCTTTGGGGTGGACACCTGCCTGCACCTTGAGAGGCAGCAAGGAAGTGCCAGGGGCCCATGGCCCTGGGCAAGCGGATCAGTCCCTGACAGGGACTCATTAATACATTCAGTCCTAAGACAATGCCTGTTTTTATCAATGAACCCAGACTGGCTTTCACACAGACAGGCAAGCTTTCAAAGGGAGGATGGGCAGTGGCTTGCGGCTAGAGAGGAGGTGCCTTTGAAGGCTCAGGGCCTCCTAGGTTCCCTCTCTCTCCTCCCCCTCCTCTCTCCTGCCTCCTTTGAAGACTTCAGACCACCTCCTCCCATCTCCCTCCTCCCCATGCTCCTCCTCCTCCTCCTCTTCCTCCTCTTCAGCTGCCACCACGTTGCTTTGCTCAAAGCCCTGAATCAGAGCACAGGGCACTTTCTCTTTATTTATTTGTGCATGTGTGTTTGTTTACGTGTGTGCGCGCGCGTTGGGATAAGGAAGTGCTTACAGGAATCAGTTCTCTCCTTCCACCATGTATCTCCTGGAGATCGAACTCAGGTTGTCAGGTGTGGCGGTAGGTACCTTTATCCCCTGAGCCATCTTGCAGGTCCAAGGGCCTTTTCTTTGACCCCAGAGAGGTTGGTGAAGAGGCAGGAGGGGACGTTAAAGCCAAGAAGCTGAAAGGGAGAGACAGACCACCCTGGAAACAGATCATCAGGTGGCTGGAGACCCCAATATAAGGGGTTTCAGAAACATCTGAATGAGATGGCCTAATGATGAGAGAGAGAGAGAGACAGTGAGACAGCGAGACAGAGAGAGACAGAGACAGACAGAGAGACAGAGAAGAACCCCAGGACATGCGTGGGCTCTCTTGAGCTAGGTGCTCTGTTGCCTGTTATCACCGGACATACCTTGTAGGGAGTGACTTCTGCCAGTCACCTTCAGGGACTCAAGGTGTCCCCCATGCTTCAGTGCTAGTGGTGGGTGACATTGCTCACTCGCTAAGAGCACAAGGCCATGAGACAGCTCATTTCTGTCCCAAACGGGGCTAGCCCAAGGAAGATGAGCTGGAAGCCCAGGGAAGCAGTGGCTGGCTCTCTCCAGCCACACCACCTCTGGCACCAGCTCTCTGCCTTGGCTGGGAAGGCCAGCAGGCTCAGGGCAGGCCCCACTCAGGTGCCAGGCCTGGCCAGTGAGCTGAGCATGGAGACGTCAGTGGGGCTGGGGGTGCTGGGAAAGAGGACAGAAGTGGTTCCCGATGCCCCCCAATCCATACACACAGAAACCCCTCATCACATACCCCCACACACATGTGCATAGACACACATTCCTTCACATACATGCATAGTCC